AACGGCCTGCATGGTCTGACTGTTGACGAGTCTCAAGCCTTGATGGAGCTGCAAGGTCTGTTACAGACCGCCACCGAAATTGCAGGCGAGCTAGAGCGGGGCCTCGACGAGCTCGTTCGGTACTGCGATAAGAGGGTGACTATGCAAGCGATGGCCTTGGATCTCAGCCGGCATCTCAAGACCAAATTCTGGGTCATGTTCTGGATGCAAATTTCCCGACATGATCGCGAGAAGATTATCACTCCCGCCATGAGACGAAAGTGAGTCTTTCTTAATCGCCTTGTCCCCTGCCTCCACAGCCCGAAGCTCATGTGCAACCACCTAATTGGACGAGCGAGGGGTAGTAGGACACGCCCTAAGAAAAATTATTAACCATCATTCATGACAGCATATTTGTCGACGCTGCCACCGCCGTGGAAACTTGGTGCGCCATCTCCTCAAGCCCGGCATGCGAACCTTATCAATGGCACATAACCTCGCACGCGGGCTTCAACCTCATACTCTATGTCCTCTCCGAGCTCCAGAGTCCCGTTTTCCAGGAGCCTGAGTGGGTAGATCTTCGACATCGGGGGCTTCAACTCGCCAACTCCATCTACGATCTCCGCGGTCAGCATACTACGGGCGCCTGGCCCGCAATCATCTGGTTGGTGAATCGTATTCGGTTCCAGCAAGGTCTGGCTGGGAGTCCTGCCCCTGGGATGGCTGCCAACACTGTTGCCGGGCTCGGTAGCCCGTCGAATAGCCAGCCCATCAGTATGAGAGCGGCTGGTTGTGCTGGTCCTGCTGGTGCTGCGGGGTTTGATAGTGCTACCCCGATTAGCCCGCCTGGGATGGACTTTGACGCAGGAGACTTAATGGGGCTCATCAACTTCGAGGAATTTAATCTTTCAGATTTCCTGGCGATGGATGGGATGGGATTACCGGGGCTTCCGCGCTAAAATAAGGATAGTAGAGCCTTTTCATCGAAGATACAATTGTGCTGTACTGATCATGTGGGTTGGGTACTTCTGTTCTGTTGCTTCTTCCATCATGAGAGACCTTCTGGAGATCATGGGGCCTTTATACAATTTTCAAGTACAGTAGGATCTTTGAGTAGTTCGTTAATGATAGATGGGGACTTCTGAACGTGGGAAGAGATTCGGGACGACCGGTAGGCGACAGGTCTCTTTCGATGACCACAAGACCAGTCCCAGAGAAACGAGTATCCCGTCAAATCATTAATACCTCCAGGTGTTCAGTCACTAGACCTCACTGGTCCCGTTGACTTGATGGCCCTAGCGCCGGCAACCTGGAGTATAACATGTCGCTCTTCGGGTGTGGTCCCTGCGACTGTCAATAAGATGTCGGAGTGTATTACGGCTTCCAGCCATTGGGAAATCTCGAAGAAAATGCGATTCATTCCTCCACAGTCCCTGCCTCTCGCTGTCTGTTTTAAGGCATCGATAGGACCTCGTACGAGGTACTACGCATCGGTTACCCACAGTAGCCTATCCTTCTGGTTGTATGGACCCACACCTCGTGCGAGGACACCGTGCGGCGGCCCCACAGCTCGGCCGACTTGGATCCTGGAGTATGAAGCGCTCGGCCTCAAATGTAAATAGAAAAGCAAGCATATTCCTCGTCGAATTTGTGATATATGTCGTACTCACTATCTGTGCAAAGAAACCAAAGATATTCTGATATTTCAGACAGACCTCGAAGCAATTGCCCAGCATCTCGAGCAACCATGAGCATGAAATCCAGGACAGACCACGAGCGAACGGACTCAGCCGACACAATTGCCCTACCTAACGTCGAGACGGGGCTGGGTCCTGAGCGCGAGAAGATCGATCATAATGCCTCCAGGCGAGTGCGCAGAGGGTTTCTTCCGTGGTTGTGTGTGGTCCCGTCCGTACAAGATCCTCATCTATACAGTTCGAGGGTGAAGTGGTTCTTAACTTTCATCGTTGCTGCCGGTGGCCTGGTCGTTCCGTTAAGCAGTGGCGTCTTGTTCCGTAAGTACCTTTCTCTCTTACCCTCTTCTAAAGGACTTCAAGTTTACACGTTGATTGGTAAAAAGCGTGCTTGCTTGAAATTGCTGCCGACCTTCATACCACCGAATCTGTTGTCAACCTGTCTATCGCCTTCGGTTCCTTGGCCGTCGCCATTACTCCCCTTTGGTGGTCCTACCTCGCCGAATTGTACGGTCGCCGTCTCGTATATCTGCTGTCCTTTTTCTTCCTCGGTCTTTTCTGTATCCTAGCAGCCATCAGCCCCAACATTGGCATGTTCATCGCTATGCGCCTTCTCGGAAGCGCCTCGAGCGCCTCCCTCCAATCCGTCAGCGCAGGCACCATTTCCGACATGTTTGAGCCGCACGAGCGCGGAAAGGCTATGGGTGCCTTCATGCTAGGGCCCATGCTAGGTCCCATGTTTGCCCCCATTATCGGGGGAGCGCTCACGATGCGTTGGGGCTGGCGAAGCACGCAGTGGTTCATGGTCATTTATGGATGGGCCGTGTTCATGGTGATGGTCATTTTTCTACCGGAGACGGCAACAAATCTGGCAGAAAATCAGCGCGAGCACCGTGCCAGTGCTAGCAGCCCCGCTAGGAAGGCCGTCCACTTTTTCCTTAAGCCCATAGAGGCCGCCAAGCTCCTCCAGTACCCGCCTATCCTAATCACGGTCTACTATACGGCGATAGTGTTTGCTACCTATTACCTCATTTGCGTCTCAATCGAGGATACCTTCGCCGTGGCCCCATACTTCTGGAGTCCTGTGATCGTCGGGGTTGCCTACATCCCTGGGGGTCTAGGGTTGTTGTTCGGGGCAATCATCGGTGGTCGCTGGCAGGATGCAATTATGGCACGCACCGCCCGGAAGGAGGGTCGGTATGATGAGGCAGGAGAGTTAATCTTGCATCCAGTAGATAGGTTAGGGGAGAATTGCCTGATAGCGGGCATTCTGTTCCCCGGAGCGCTCTTATGGTGGGGATGGACGGCCGAGAAGCAAGTCTTCTGGCTGGTACCGGTGAGTTCGGCATTAGATGATTTCGTGCCAAGAATAACTGTGACTGACGATAATACCATATAGCTGATCGGAAATTTCTTCTATGGCTTCAGTGGAATGATCCTTACCAACGTGACCATGACAATGCTGACCGAGTTCACCCCAAAGAAATCGACCGTTGGCGTGGCGGTGAACAATCTGCTACGAAACAGCCTGTCGTGTGTTAGTGCGGTCATCGCTCAACCGCTGTTCGATGCCATTGGAACTGGATGGTCTTTCACGGCCGCTTGTATCTTCTGTCTGTTGAGTGGCATTCCGTTGATCCTCCTACGGATAAAGCGGGAGGAATGGAGTCGGAAGATGAAGGCTACGTTGGGAAGTGATTAGAAGGGTATGCAGGACGGGAGGGGTTGGAATATATAATCCAGTCTGGTAAATAGGCGAGGGCCTTAATTTTCGCCCCAGAACGTTCTTCTGACATATATCTGTCATTCAGCATATTGTCTGGTGTCAATTGTGGTCCTTTCGCGCTTCCAGGTACGGAACCGCCTGGTGTCGCTCATGAAAGTTTTTAAAGGAAATAATTCCACTCTCTCGAAAGATTTCAGCGCTCGAGTGGCAAGCGCCTTCTTCACGCCATCGGATGCTCTTGCAGCGTCTGGTCAATGTGGTATCCTACGTTATCAGTCGGTAAGAGGGAAACCCCGCAAGAGCCGCTGAGTGTATCTTTAGACATATCGCTCGATTAGTATAGCCCACGTCATGAGCAGGTAGATATCTGCATGTTCAGTACACATAGTAAAAGACTGCTTAGTCGCGGTCATCTCATGATTATGAGCCTAATAGGAATTATAAATCGAGGTTGAATGAAAGCTACGGAAGAGAAAAACACGAATAAAGTCTTCCCTACAAAGCGGGTCTTATCCACCCACATATGAAGGCAAATGGTGATTTTGAGACACGATGTCCACCACAGATTTGCCCCTTCTAGTGCCGACCCTCTCCGGACGGAAGACTGAAACAATGCCAAGCTATCAAAATTTGACACTTTAGCAAGCTAACAATAGCAAGCTAACAATGCGATTCTGCGGGAGCTCTGCGATGAAACTAAGATAGACGCTCTCTGTTCGAGCATAACGACCTAGCTAATAACGCATCACATTATTCTCTCCGTGATTGTCCTCGAATACACTTCTCCATTCCCGCTTCAAATCAGGTTTTCCTTAGGGTAAGTTGTCACCTTGTTGCTGATACCAGATCCTTTCTTCTCTTGAAGGCAACTGCTATACCAGCCCGTTCATTGGTAAATCCTCAGCAGTTATAAGAAGCAGCCCAATATTAACCCTTGGGGTAAGTACAACAGTTAATTTGGACAGGTGCGTGTCTAGATAGACAGACTTTAGTACCTTGGAATATTTGTGTCTCACTTTGTGCGGTGGCATGACCCCGAAAAGCAGGGACATGATTAACAAGAAGTGCAATAACTCTCTATCGCATGGTTCATCGTGATGTTGATGCTTTCGGAAGAAGTTTCAGTTAAGATAAAAGGCAGCGCTTTGTAGTCGAAAATGCTGTGCTCTGTACCATAAGATTATGTGTAGGAAATCTCTGCGCGATAACCTACTTTTATCGCAGCCCCAAGCCCTTTTATGTCAGTATGACCGGCGCGGATGCAACACTATTCCAAGAGCTTCACTAGTACGTCACCCTTGCTTAGTCCGACCCCATATGCAGCAGCAATTCCACTTAAAGCCATGACACGGCTGCTGTTGCCTGTATGAGAAATCTGTACCCAGCCTGCTCCTTCCCCAAGAAAATAGAAGATTCACTACTGTACAAAAAGACGTGAGTGCCCCCGTAGTCAACAAGGATTAAAGACATCAACTTGCCAGGAATCTATTTTGTGTGATATCGCGCCGCAATGCAGGGCCCTAGAGGCCTCGAATCTCGATGAGCTTCTTGTCACTCTCTTCGCTATCGTCTGATACCAATAATATTGGGATATCACGGCGATGGCGTCGAAGGAGCCTACCGACTGGCCCAGTTTAGCCACATCTACGAGTAAATCTGAACACCCTCAACAACTCGCTCTGGACCTCCAACTCAACACAAATGCGATACCTAGGCACCTGGATACAAGCAAGGGCTCTCGGGTGCTTAAGCCAGCCATCGATCATGTCAAGAACGTAAGGGAACCACTTTCAGTCCAGCATCTCATCCTGACTTCTTATTGAAGATCGAGAAATGGATTTGAATTTCGTTGATGCGGGTGCTGTAACCCGCCCCTCCAATCGCCTCCCCTCAGCTGCCCATCTCGGGCCCTCACCTGCCCTTCGCCGCCACCATGAGCTCCTCCGCCCTCTTCCCCGATTTTGATATCGGGAGTGTCAGAGGCTTGTGTATGATAATGTGGTCGCTCACGTGGTGTCTTGTGACGCTCCTCGGCGCGTTTTACTGCTTCCGTCATCGGTAGGTACATCATATATCACCTTCCCACCTATGCTCATTGAGATGGAACTCGAGGCTTACAATTCTGTCAAGGCAGAGGGTCAAAGGTTTGTGTGTGATCTATCTAATCTCCAGGGTCGGCTAACCTTCTCTGCTGCAAATGGGGTCACGCGCATTTATATAGAAGCAGAGAGATGTGCGGACTAAATCGTCCGATCGTTCCAACCACATGCCCCTTCCACACCAAGAACTTCAATGATGGTTATAGCTCGTTAAAAGCGCTACACAAAGAGCCGCGAAAAGCGAGATAAAAAATAGAAAAAAACATACAACAGAAGGGATTCGCTGGTGGTCACCCACCCAACTACTAACCTCCCGGCGTGTGGCTTAAGTACGGCTGAGCGGACGGGAAGCCCTGTTTTCCACACCCTATGGTCGTATGTGATAGATTATTGTAATGGAGAGTTTATATCGTGATCGGCAATGTGTAAATCGGGCGGCGTTCTCATCGTAGCTGCCTGGGGTCAGCGCAGGGATGAAGCAAGGTAGGGGAAAGCTTCCTAATGGGTATTCGGGAGGACACTAACTTGAACACTCTTCGGGTCAGAGAGAGAGTATTCGCAAAATATCACCACACATACATGGGAACCATTCGAGGCTAATGAAGATCAGCCGTACCGATTGATAATAGGGAAGATGGGTGGACTAGTTGGTACATGAGAAGCCACCAGGCCACAAGAAGGAAAATCGAAACAACATCTGTGTTCTATAAATTGCGATGAATATCTTATAAAGATGTGCAAATGTCATATACAAATAACAAAGCCGCCGTGTGCTGAACGACATTCACATGTCCTAAAATGCATTGGACCGCAGCTACGGGTAAGGTGCAGTCGAACCACTGACCCGTGCGAGTCTATGGAAAAAGCCACCCACGCGCTTGTAGTAGATTGTTCTACCCACACAAAATTTATCAGTAACTCGGTTCACAATTCCAAAGTTTGAATGTGGTCAGCTTCCTGTTACATATCGACAATCCATATTGAATGCTTCACTTACAATCTCATACATGTCGACAACGTTGTCTACTAAGTACAGTATGTCAATGGCTTAATTAGTGTATCTATTAGGCTCTGATAAAGTGTTCTTTTCTCTTTGTATATGTTGAGGAAATAAACATATGTAATTGTGAGAGCCACTTAACACGTAAAGGCATTGGTGTTGATTGAGTGAAATCACTTACACAGAGAGAGAAAAAGAACCTTGGGGATGACTGATAAGCGAGTAACTACAAGTTGTGCAATAATTCCACCCTACTTCTGGACAGATACTCAGAAAACAAGTGTCGTGCAATCGGTCGACACAAATATGGGAGCTCCCCTTGAGTGCTACCAAAATTGCGCATCGATAAGCTATATAGGCAGTTATCTGGGCAGCTGCCCCACTAGTTGATTTTTCTACATTCTGTATAACTATGCTTTGCCTTGCCTAGTGCTGTAAATTTACAGTAGTCGGGTGTATAGCTGTGGCGATGAGCCTTCTATGCTGCAGCTTATTGTTCTATTATCTACTTTATATCATTTTCTGTGCAAGTTGGGTGATTGGGGAGTATCCCAGGCGATGATTCCTCACTCGATGGTGATGTATCTGCATCGATAAATTTGACCGTGTTATTTTGCCGGAAGTTCAAAGTGAGTATATCTGTGATTGATGCTATCATCGACACCTGGCTAAATCGCATCCTTCCCAGTGCCTATACCCCACATTGGTGACCAATATTATCACAGAAAGCCTGATCTCTTGCATTTGACTCCTACTGAGCGCCATCGCTTCACGCGGAGCTACTACCAAGTATGGAGCCTTATCCTTCTGGATGAGCCATCTGGAAAACGCCGATATCAGAGTATGCTACTGAAGCACTTACACTTGGCGAGTGAAATACTTGGTTTTATGCTGCGTCTTACTGAAGATCTGGAACCCGCCGTGCCTGTTGGTAAATGGCTTGATCTTCTTTAAGAATTGGACGACTATCTCTATGGACTCTACTATTCTCTATATGGGCAAAAGGTAATACCTTTCAGGGAAGAGGGCAGTTTTGCGAATGCGGGGAATATCAAATATATCTGGGACCATTGCCAGCCCTTTTTCAAGACCACCTTATGCACCTATCCGTGGCGAAAGCCGGCACAAGGGCCTGTAAAGGAGGAACAGGTTTGGAATTATGAGACTGATGAAGAATGAGACTGTATTTGGCCGACCAGTATGCTGGAGGCTTTCTAGGGGCTTGAAGCTGACATACTGTCCTAATCTGGAAGACGAGTGGGCCATAAGGCTAAAGGTTACTTCTTTGAATATACTTCTATCCATGCCGGTCAGAATGAAGTCAAGTTCTCGTGGGACCCCATTGCATCCAACTCCCTACTAAGTCCCTTCATGCATGTTGTTTAACCATGTGATTCTCGTTGAGTGAATATCCTTGTATTTCTGCGTGCCAGTTTATATATCGTACCCATTGATGGACTCTTATCATCTGCACGTATAGAGGAGTATGATTCCGTTATATATGTACAACGTCTGATCTTCGAGGAACGTATTCGGTATATAAATATACTCTATCTAGTGTGAAGTTGTCTTAGGTCTATCTGAAGTCATGTTCTTAAGCTCCTCGACTAAGGGTTGAAGATCCGTTTCGTGGCATACGCACATCTGTAAGTCGAATGTGACCATTCTTGGGTATTACTCGCATTGTGTATAAAACTCTTCTGCTCGATGAAGCCAGGACTTTGTAAATATCAAATGGAGAATGCGTGACATTGCGCACTAGAATAATAACAGCCAGGACAGAAATAAGGAGTGGAACCGTAAACCGGTGCAGTACCATGACATTCTCAATCGCGTCGAAGGCCGGTGTCAAGCTCCAGAGTGCAAGTAGCTGAAACATAGGTAAAGGGGAAGATGGCGGCTAAAGCGCCGCTCGAGCTGGAGAGAGAAAATTGCATGGTGGTGGTTTCCGTGTCTTTATATTGTTTTCTTTGGAGGCTTTTTATGACAATGAACAATTATGTAAAGAGAGATGAGGGCTTTATATATGCAACATTAAAGGTTAAAAGAAACCATTCCCATGAAACTTTGACTGACGTCACTTGCAAGTGGGGGTTATTGATAAGGCATGCTATCCTCTTGATTTATCCTTTCAGAATATGTTCTGAACAAGCTGCAACGACCCACAAAACATGTGTAGTCTACCAAAACATATGCTAACAGTTATTAGTACAAAGCAGCGCTGATCGTATGTGAGGACCGGTGCTAGTGGCTAGGGGCTCTATTGCTTGTTCTGTAACACACCTTGATTTGGGTGGGGGTTGCAGTGGTACTAGAGGCAGCACCGGGGTTATATCCGTGCGTTGAAGCAATCCTCTTCACGATCCGTCTAGGAGTTAGGTCTGGAACACTAACAGTCCAAGGTAAATGTCAGCTGGTCTCACATGCACTGCAGTAAGGTCATAAAAAATGTGCATTGTGAGTCCGTTGACTCAGAACTTCAATTTATGGTCGGTTAGAGTCACTGTTTGAGATGGGAGTGTTAAATTTCAAGATGCACTAGGAGCGTGTTTTGATAGGTTGAGAGTATGCACGAACAGCGAACTGCAGCTAACAAAGAAGCAAGTAAAGGAAGTGAGGGCACAGTTCGCCACTGACCGGAGTGTGGGAGGGCATGCAGAAATTGACAATCACAGTGGGTAGGTACTTATGTACTGTAGATTGTGGCTAATGAATATTTTGAAGGGCCCGACAAGAATACGTGTTACTATGGGTGAGCACTTCTACATACTTGGTTATTTAGGGATCAAGTGACCATTTGATCAGGCATAGTTCCTTTACTGAAGTATACAATCAATAGTTGCATCATGGATATATTACTGTGCATGTTCGTGAATATCATCTTGCTGTGTAAATATTATAGACTATTTACTTCTATGTATTTAGTTGAGATTAATCAAATGGTGCTTTATAAGTAACCAAATGAAGACTAGTTAATATCTAGTACCCACCTACAATCGGGCAACTGCTTTGCTTTGCTGGCCTTATAATGGCTTGAAAAACCCCTCTCCAAAGCTTTACCTGTTTTTTTGAGCGTGTCCTACAGAGACCTGTCGATATATGCATGCACTCGAGCATCTTGGTGGTTAATAAATGTGAGACAATGAGTGATGAAAAGGTGGAACTCATCCCCGAATTACTCCATAATGCAAAGATACTCTCTGTATTAAGTGTGTTTATTGTTTGTTTGCTAAGACTGAATCAGGTAGGATAGTAGCAAGATTACTCTGAGCGAGGAAAAAAGTAAAAGTACTGATGGATGATGAAAGGTATGAAAGAGAAGGGTGGACTTGTTGGTGCAATAGAAGCTATTCAGAGGACGACAAATACCATTGGAACAATCTCCGTGGTAAACAGAATGAAGCGAGTGTTTTAAGAAGATATGTCAGAGTAATCTATATGTCACCCAGCATTTTATGGCTGACAGGAAGTCACATGCTTAAAAGGTTTGTGGCGGGCTGAGTGATGGTATCAGGGTCCTATAGGCCTCGGAAGCACATGCTATCACACTGTGGCTTGACTTAGCACCAACCTTCTGAACCCTGTTAGATTAGATAGTTAATATAAATCTGAGCTACAAGGAAGAAATGCAGCCCGTCCAGCTGCAAATGTATTAAAGGGACCGGGCCACTATCCCCGATGAGGCAATTTGGAAGATCATCAATCAGCTTGATTCGTAGAAGCAATGATAGCGTCATGCGGGGACCACGAGAGTCAGCACCAGTAAATTAGCTGTACAGGCTGAATGTAACATCAATCGGAGAAGGCTGGCAGCTAAGAAGCGGGGTTAAAATGAGGTGATCGAGTCATTATCAAAAATGTGTATAAATCAAATGCATGGGTGTCTGACCGAATCATTCTCTAGTTGCCAAGTGAGCACCACAAACAAACATGAACTTCTTGTACCTTCTCACCCTCCTTTTCACTGCTGCAGTAGCAGTAGCTACAGCAACACCAGCGAAAGTTCTCTTACCAACCAAGCGAGATGGCTCCAGCGTCGTCTCCGCCGTGAACACCATCTCTGCCCAGCTTGTTACCCTCAATACCACCGTGAGCAGCTACCCGGGCGGCATTGAAGGAACACTATCTGCTCTCCAGATTCAAGCGGAAACCATTCAGCTCGAAGTCGATCTGAAGACCGCAATCAAAGTGACCCGGCAGTCTGCCAATTTCACCGACACCGAATCGCAGAAGGTAGCGGAAGCTTTCGTTACGCTGGAGCCACAGATCGCATCTACACTGGCCAACATTGTGTCGAAAAAGTCTGATTTTGATGATGGGCTGTTGGGAATCGCGTCATTGAGTTTCCTGGTCAAGTTCGATCTGCAAGAGTTGAGCATTCTGTCGAAGGCATTGGGGTCAGCGGTACAGGACAAGCTGTCAGGGACGTATGCGGATTTGGCACCATTGATTCTGAATGAGATTTCGACTGCGTTCAAGAAGGCGATTGCGGCTTATTCATAGAGTGGAGGATTCATAGAGTGGAGGATGGGTGTCATTCAGAGCTCAACTTGTAGTTAGGCCTTCTCGTCTGCACGTGTCTTTAAACTTTGTTGAAAATGCTATGGTAATAGAAGCAGGAACATAATTTCTTTCATAACTGGACGTCATCGATCAAATGAATATATAATGTGTTGAACGTTTGTTGATTAGTTGCCACATATTATGAATATACCCGGGTCATTTGTGATGATATATATTAACTTTTGTTGGTCAGAAACCCCTGTCTTAGGCACAAGGTACGTCATGGGAGCCCAGCACGATGCACCAACAATCTTAGCACTGAGGCAGCATTGGGCAGGGTGTCTTTTCTTCCACCTGGACGGTAAGATTATAGTTAGGTCGATTGACCATCACATGATAACGTGGTTGTGTCGTTTGTATGGGAAATTTCATAGATAATTAGAAGTGCTGCGACCGATGTCGGACAGGAGGCAGCTGCGAGGATATGTAGTGTTCAGCTGAAATCCACACCCCATGCACACTGCCCCAAAGAAGGAGCATCCGGGGATGTCCTGGGCCAAATTCCGATGATCAGATGCAGTTGAAATACTTGGGGAGTGGCGAGGGTAGGCCAATAGACCCACTTCAGCTGAATAGATCTCATTCCCGTATCTACGGATTGCAAATTTCAAAACTCCGTACGGAGTCCAGCCACCTCAATCACCGATCGGCGAACCACGTAATGCATTTATACTCTCCACTCTCTCTCTGGCTAGGAGCACTCAATACTTAGTCAAACTTACAGAACATTAGCTTTATCGATTCCATAGTTACGTATACCACACTACATAATATTGGACGCTATCTTAGCGCTAAGTTAGATATACACTTACTGACAAAGCAATATGTTGCGCCTGGGGAATCTATCATGCAAGTGGAGAGGCGGTGAGAATAGAGCTCGTCGAGAAGTTGACTAGTCAAGCAATTGATTATACGCCTCCTCCTATTACAAACCATCTAGCATACATACTGAGTGCCTACCGTGTTTGTTCCTGCATTTCGTCCCGCTACCCACTGCTATCGGCAAGACAGATACCCGGCGGAGTCATTTCCGAGGAAAGTGCAATACAGGAAAGGCCACAAAAGATGAGATTATGGAGGATCCTCGCAAGTGCCTTCAGAAGGATCTCGCTTTCTGGATCATATAATGTTCTTCCAGAAGGACGAAGCTTTGACCGAGAAGGCAGCACCGGCTTTATTAGTCGTTGGACGTTCAGCTGGGCAGGGCCCATTCTATACATTGCCAATCAAACGGGCTCACTCGAAGTTGAAGACCTTCCCCAGGTCCCGAGTGAGTACAGTGCCATAGGTCTACGAAGCGCATTCTCTGTCAAGCAGAGTGATGGATTACAAACGAGCAAGCAGCAATTTATAAGCACTGTATGGCATCTTGCCTATAAAACACTGCCAAGTCTGGCATTGTTGACAGTCGCTTGCGTTGCTTTGGGTTTCGCCCCACAAGCTGCTCTATTCGGTCTTCTGCGTTCCATAGAAGAGGATCGCAGAGGATTTGGTGCGTGGGGATATGTTCTTGGCCTGTGTCTCCCAATTGTAGTATCAGCGGTATTAGACCACAGAAGATACTGGATCTCATATCGATCATTATCACTCCGCTTGCAGAATCATCTTATGGTTGCACTCTTCGACAAAGCAGTCACATTCGACAGCATCTCTGGGACTGGTCCGTCTACGGATGCAGAGAATGACAGTACAGGAAGCAAGCAATGCTCCAGAAACCTAACAAATCTGATGGCAGTAGATGTGAAGCGCGTTTCCGAATTTGTTTCGAACTCTTTCTCAATCTATGAGACACCGCTGCGACTTCTGATATCTTCTGTGGTCCTTATAAGGCTTGTCGGCTGGCAAAGCCTATTCGTCAGTGTTTTGATCCTACTGCTATTATGGCCTTTGAACAACTATGCGATCGAGCGATATTCCCGTTCTCAGAAGGAATTGATGGAATATCGTGATCGCAAGCTTGCCTCTGTCACAGAGGTTCTTCATGGCATTCGTCAAATCAAATTCTCCGCCACGGAGGAGCAATGGGAAGCCAAAATCGAAGCACTACGCACGGGAGAGCTGGATATGCAAAGAGAGGCCTTCCAGTGGAACCTTGTTTTGATGTCATTCTATCTATTGACCCCAACGGTTCTGTCAACGGTGCTGTTGACTGTGTACGCGGTGATACACGGAAGCCTGTCTCCGGCAACAGCGTTTACCGCTATGTCAATCCTGAACACCGTGCAAAACTCACTTAATTCAGTGCCCAGTGTGATCACTGCTGGATTTAACTGTATACATAGCGTCAAGCGCCTTTCTGACTACTTGGACACACTGCAACATGTACCAGCTGTTTTGCCTTCCAAAAGCATTGATTTTTGTAACGCTTCGTTGGCATGGCGAGGAAGCAGTGGTTACAATCCCGACGTCCTGAAAAACCTGAATATGTGTATTCCACAAAATTGTCTGACCCTGATCACGGGGCCCACGGGTGCTGGCAAAAGCCTTCTCTTGGCGTCAATATTGGGAGAGTGTGATATTCTCAGCGGTACGGTCAAAGCGCCAACTGGAAGAGAATGGACCCCAGTATTTGAGACGTACCATGGATGGCTCTTAGAAGGCACCACCGCTTACGTCGCACAAACGCCTTGGATAGAAGCTCTTACCATCCGAGATAATATTTTGTTTGGCCTGCCATTTGACGTTCGAAGGTACAAGCAGGTGATATTTGCATGTGCACTGGAGTCAGATCTGCAAGCAATGGTGGATGGGGATGAGACACACTTGGGGCCAAACGGTGTTAATCTGAGCGGTGGGCAAAAGGCCCGTCTTTGCCTAGCCCGAGCGCTGTATTCCAGAGCAACGGTTCTGCTCCTGGACGATATATTCAGCTCCGTTGATGTACACACGGCTGCCCATTTATGCCAATATGCTCTGGCTGGGCCACTTGCACGGGATAGGACGCGTATTCTCGTTACTCATCATGTGTCCTTATGCCGGGATCATGCTCAAGGCATAGTCCACGTTGATGGGGGGACCGCACACTTCAGTCCCTTAGCGAACCCAGAAACAAAAGACGGGGTGGACGACAGTTGGACGGATTATCTTAATATGAAGCCTTTCGTAAAGGGAGTCAGCTACAGCAGCTCCGATAATGATGCGACCGTCAGATCGTCCCAAAAGTTCATTGTCGAAGAGACTAGGGAGAAAGGAGCTGTCAAATGGGCCGTCCTGCAAAATTATGTCCAGCAGAGCGGTACTCGTTCCTACTGGATGTGCTTAGTGATGGCGTTTCTAACCTATAGCATACTCATGCTGAGCAGGGTAAGTGCCTAACTCCCAAGTCAAGACAGAAACAGTACTCATTCTCTCACAGACCTGGTGGCTGGGGAAATGGAGCCAATCCTACCAGATCCCAACACCGAATGAGCAACACAATGTGTCATACTACGCCAAAGTCTACATTATCTTGTCTGTACTAGTGTGCATAGTCGGTGCAACTCGCAGTTACTTCGCGATGATGGGTTCTTTAAGGGCTTCGGAGGTTCTCTTCCGTCGCTTTCTTCACCAAGTTCTCCGGATGCCCTTGCGTTGGATTGACACAGTCCCAGTTGGACGGATACTCAACCGCTTCTCAAACGACTTCAATCTCGTGGACTCTCAAATGGGGGACGACATGCGAGCCATTTTATCCTACGGAATGGATGTTGTGATGGCTGTAGTCCCAAGCCTAATTATCAACCCACTGTCACTCGTTTCCAGCTTGATTCTTGGGTTGATTACCGCTAGGTACGCTAATTGGTACTTGGTAGCTGCACGAGAGATAAAACGTCTCGACAGCGTGGCCCGCAGTCCGATTTACGACCATCTCGAATCGTGCATGGCCGGTTTGTGGACGATCCGAGCTTTTGGGAAAGCTCGTGTCTACCAGGAACAGTTCCGACAGCGCTTAGATCGCCGAGCACGTACTCAATGGCACAGTTGGCTATTCAATCAGTGGTTAGCCGTCCGGTTGGATATGATCGGGGCTGCATTTACTGCGATTTGCGCGGCTGCTGTGGTTTTGCTTGAGGTCGAGGCTTCAACTGCCGGGTTCGCCATTAATTTCACACTGAAGCTCACTCAGTCGATATCGTTTGGGATTCGCAATTATGCGTCTTTGGAACTCGATCTGAACAGTGTGGAAAGAGTCTTAGAGTACTGCCATTTGGAGACTGAGAGCGATGGTGGCAATCCCGCCCCTGCCGGCTGGCCCTACAATGGAACACTCGAGGTCAGGAACTTATCAGTACAGTATGCACCTGACATAGAGCCAGCACTACATAATGTCACTTTCAAAGTGGGAAGTAACCAGCGCATCGGCATAGTTGGAAGAACTGGAGCCGGAAAGTCATCCTTAGCCCTGGCACTGTTCCGCGTTCTCGAGCCATGCGCAGGACAGATTCTCATCGATGGTCTTGATATCTCTACCATCCGACTACATGACATCCGAAGTCGACTGGCCATTATCCCACAGTCTCCATTCCTCTTCAAAGGAACAGTGAGGTCGAACCTTGATCCCTCAGGCAACTGTGAAGACTCAGAACTCACCTCCGCTCTTTCCCGTGTCAATTGGAGCAGTTTCACGTCCTTGGACAACAACCAGCACATACGCACTAATATAACTCCTGGACAAGAAGCCTCAATACTGAATGATCCAGTATCTGACGGAGGCTCCAACCTTTCACACGGCCAACGACAGCTCCTTTGCCTAGCGCGCGAACTGCTCCGAATGCCGCGTATATTGGTCCTAGATGAAGCGACATCCGCAGTGGATAAGGAAACAGACGGTCTCGTGCAACGCTCAATCCGGTCGGAGTTCGGTCGGAACGGCACTACGTTGCTGGTGGTTGCTCATCGCCTCAGTACAGTTGCTGACTTTGACCGTATTCTTGTGTTGGGAGGCGGAACTGTGCTGGAGTTCGGTAGTCCCGCGGAGCTCATGCGTCGGAAGAATGGTGCTTTCAGGGACATGGTGGAGACGGATGCAGAGAGGGAATTGCTATACAGGGAAATTTTTGCTAGTCGGAAATAGATGTAGTGTTAGTGGTGAGGGTATCTATTCAGATTCATACCCTATTGTTATCTGTTTTCATTAGCCTGATTAAGCCTGTTGGGTAGATAATATCCTATCTATGCGTGTTCTTCATTGTACGAAACAGTTAAATGGCCACAACCGCTATCAAACCGCCGAAAACTTGCAGATACACTTGGAACATTGCATGGTTCTGTAAAGCGCGTTGTCGCTGCACCTTTCACGCACAACCAACAAAAACAAATAGATGCAGTCCACAGGCACAGGCACCTGACCAATTCCGTACGGGTCCGAAGGCATTGCATTTCCTCCTCAAATTCTATCACCATTTGCTTCTTCCCTTTTATCTATGCTTCTATATGAATCCCCCACATATAGTATACCCCACTAGCTGAGTAAGTCTTCCAATTCAAAGAACACCCAAGCTTCCGCACACGATGATAAATACCTCTACCACATCTTTCCAGCTCACCATTTTATCCGAAGGGCGATGGAACTTGCTCGGCCGATAAACCCCATCCGTATCTTTACTCAGCAATTGGCGTCTCTCGGGCACAGTGGGCGGTTGCGCCATATACCGCACAGGCACGGAGAGCTTCATGATAGCAGAGAACAGAAACACAACTGCACCAGGGCTAGGTGAAACCAAAGTGCCCTCCACAGTTCTTTCCGCCCTGGTAGCACAGAACCAGGACCGCCAGATAACAGGTACCATCGCATAGAAAAACCACACCACATACATAAGGATCATCGGAGTGCATACGCGAGTCCAGAATGGCTTTCGGTGACGGGCCGATCGCTCGTTTATGGGGGAGACTACCGTGCCGGTGATTTCAAAGCTAACGATGTTGCCGGGTATCCAGGAGCGGAAAATGCGGGTGGCGTTTACTGTAAAGAAGTTAGCTTGTGCTATGGCGGTAGTGCGATATGGGATCCGCGGAAGGAACTTACGTGGCGTGTTCCAGAACCGGTTTGATTGTTGGTTCTTGGCTGCTTGGATACCGATACCGCCGTGCATGCGGATGTAGCAGAATTTGTGCAGTATAGTGGCCATCAGAAGAACAAGGTATAGTCGTCGCATCTGTTGTTCCTGCGAGACGGATGCGGTGTTCGTTTCTGATATCACAGGCCATGAGATCCACGGAACAAAGAGAATCATGAGTATGTTCGGAATAGCTGTGTAGGTTTTGACGACATGGCAGAAGCCTACGATGCGCTGTAGAAGGCTTCTCTGACCGGGGACACCGGTGTTGAAGAAGAACCAACCAAGCTTTCGGTATGAAAGGATGTTTCCATCCGTCTGCCTGAGGTTAATGACAAATACTTGGAATTATAAACTGGTACACTTACCCATCGCGCGCGTTGCTTGAACCACGCAGCCAAGGAATCAGGAGCCAGGCCATACTGCACTTCGTCTCTCACAAACGTAATGCGCCAGCCTTTGTCGGCCAGAAGCCAAGCACATAGGATATCTTCACCTGCATTTTGCAGAGGCCAGCCACCGATGCTATCCAAAGCGCTGCGCCGCATGACATGTGCAGCATGTTCCTCCCAAACTGTCATTGATCGGCTCAGACAGACCCGCGAAGACATTTGTGTCCTGTCCGAGGGGATCACCCTTGGGAGCATTGTAGAATCGCTGCATCCGTGTTAGCCAACTACACGAAAAAAGATTGGAAAGAGCGGGTATTTATACCTGCGGTGGCACAGCCATAGCTGCACTTCCGTCCACCAGCAACTGAGGAACAACACGCCTCAGCCAGTCTTTGACGGGGATCATATCCACATCCAGGCCTGCAACGAACTCGGAACCTCCGTTCCGACGAGCACTCTCTTCCAGGCCGTATCGCAGGTTACCCGCCTTGTAATAATGTGGGACACCAGGCGGCTTCTCCCGAGCAAGGTACACAACTTTCTGAAAGCCATGTCGCCCGTTATTGAACCTCTTTACTGCCTTTTTCACCTCGGTATCCCTCGCATCATCGTGTAGAAAAACACGGAATCGGTCTTGAGGATAATCTTGAGAAGCCGCACCAGCGATCGTGTCCATAATAACATCCAGAGGCTCTCCGCAACAGGTAATGCAGATGTCGACTGTTGGCGCATGCTCTCCATGCAGATAGAAAGAGGGCCGATGGACCGGTCTCCGGCCCCATCCGATATAAAGGAACGTCTCAAACCGTGAGAGGAACTCCAATATAGTACTTATCACTTCTATCAACACATTGAGCCACAAGAAGCTCCAGACGGCAATATTTGGTATTGACAGGCTCAGGGTGAGCTTCACCCGCCCCGCCAAGTAGCCGAAGTAAAGCACCCAAGTCGTCAGATGAGCGCACACTAGTCTTGGAGAATCTAACGGAAATTGCCCCAAGTTATGTGGTCTCTTCTCAATGTGGTAAGGTGGGCATGTTTGGAGGTCGATTTTCTTCTTCTCCTGCTGGTTTAAATCACTTGTAACGGTTTCGGTGTATGATCCCGACATTGCGATGCCTCTGTGGAATCTTAGTGACTGGTATGTGGGATGTACATCTGGATAGCACGAAAGATAAATAGTCTACTGCTACTGCGCTTTGTACTTCTTTTTCTTTATTGTGGCCACCCGCAGGCTCATATTCCAAAAAGGTACAATCCACATTGATCAGCACACATGGTCAAATGTCTATATTGACCGCATTCTGCCGCCGATAACGGATGACCCTAGTCAGTGCCCCGGGCAAATCTTTCGGCATCCATCTTGATTCTGACTGGTGATACATCTACTTTATCACTGCAGCGCCCCACCTTAGCTAGTAAGTTTCGTCACGACCGATCCGCCCGATCGGGTTCAGCTGAGGCTGAGGTGGGGCGGCTGTACTGTGTGGTCCGTAGCCGCGATTGAATAGATGTGCTCTGGTATTTGCAACTCAACACTTCCAGATCGTCGAATTAGTGCTTACACAGGTAGAATGCAGGGGGGGGCAATCAAGTCCCGAAAATCAGGTAAGATGACACTGAAAGGAACAAAAGCAATAACGTCTATCGGCAGCTCAGCTACACGGATAACCCGACAACTCCCCGAAATCGGGTCACCCGCGGGTAAGAAAATAATGGAAATGGAATGAAATCTGCAAAATATGTACATCCCTAGTCCAAAGAGTAATTCTAATTGGGGGGAAAAGGGGGATTGCTTGCAATTCTGCCCAGATTGTCAAAAGAAGATGACAAGATGTGCTGAGGGCATTAGCCCGTAGTACAGGGGTGGTTGTTGCATGGGGTTCTTTTGCATAAGTACCAGTTCTGTTTAAAATGTGTCATTCATGATTCGAGCATTGTATGTCAGACTATGCGCGTATGTCATGCACTAATGTGGATGCGGTCTTCGCAATCACGGCTTGTTGGCATACTACTCCCTACATGGACTCTCATCTTGCCGTAGCCTCTAGTCTACTGCTTAGCCGTGAAGTTGTGGGACCAAATAGACTGGGAAATGTATTCAGAACCAGCCAAGCCACTATAACATGCCAAAGTCACCGGAGGCACACCACTTGCAAGCTGCTAGCCAGGTTTAGAAATCAGATTGAGTTTGGAGAAGATAGTGTTAGCTGTGTTTGTCAGAGCCTTGGCCGAAATGCGATCTTCGGGATTTGCACTTGCATTAGCGAGGTACCACATCTGAGCCTACTGAACTTACGTTTCATGAGAATTATATCGAGACTCACCGCTATTCAAGCTGATAAGGAATTTGTCCGAGTGTGACAATGTGATAACAGATAACAATCGCTGAGGTTGCATCACTAGCCGGTGGCGTAATCGCACAAGATCCATCGGGCGCACGGAGCCTGTATAAGACTAATTTAAATTGAAGAGCTGTAATATACTGATCTGCAGTTTCTGTCTGAGAACCTTAAGCAATGAACTCGGTCGGATTTCTGGTTATGTACCACATCAATCTCAACGATCAGTAAGGTCAGGATAACGATGAAAATGCGCTTCGAGTGGACTCGATCTCTTTTCATCTGGGACCGAGGTAGCTCCAGAGATATTAATGCAATCGACTACGGCTAAGTTGGGTTGTGAATGGTAGGTTCAATACTCATCGCCGCAACAACTCCGTATTCAGATACCATGAACATGGTAATTTGAAAGCAGGGACTTATAATTTTCGAAATCACTCGTCTAGCCCGGGTGGAGCACGAATATCCCTGCCTAGAGTGGAAATGAGATAGATCACTCCCGATGCTGCGATGGGGTGGCGGGGTCAAGCTGGATAGATGGTTCTACCCCATTCCCGCAATTGGCGGTCCTACCAGCAGATAGAAATTGGAGAAAAGACTCTATCCCTCTAGATAAGTTTGCCCATGCTCTGTATAACAAAGCCAGCAAGGCAACTCAGCTTCAGTGCATTGAGAGGATACGGGGTGAGCTTCAATATGGACAGAAGAGTTCCTATTAAAGACGCCTTAGAGGCCACGACCTCGAACGATATTATCATCTGCGGAACCGTACAAAATGTACAAAGCGGTGAGGAATGCACAGCTATCACTATTAATGATGGCTCAACCATCTCATCAATCCAAGCTCGAATGCCCGCCGTTCGGTCAGATGATGATTCTTCACTCTCACTGGGAGCTACAATCCAACTCCAGGGCAGACTCGAGCCCCGTGAGGCAACATCATGCCTTAGTCACCAGAAGCAGCAAGCAACCTTCAACGTGAAAGACTTCACTATCGTTGGTCCAGCCGACTCTGCCTTCCCTCTTTCTCACCGTCAACCGTCTCCGGAATTCCTACACCTCAACCCACACTTGCGTATCCGCACCCCACAACATGCCCTCATGGCACGATTTCGCTCCACTGTTGTGAGCGCACTTTCCAACCTCTTTGACACACACCCGGACGGACCATTCTATCAGGTACATCTTCCCATGCTCACCTGGACGGACTGTGAAGGAGGCGCGGAAGTGTTTGCCGCTCCAACGCAGCGTTCCAAGCGTGCCGACAAGGAGATGACCGACACC